AAATATGTTTTACAGCTCATAAACTTGTCAATGTCTTATTTCATGGTAATTTATACTCTACTATAACAAAAAGTAGACATCACGAGTGATTTTGCTCTATAGTTAGAAATAATATGTAGCTGATAAAAGATGCAAAATAAAAATTTGCACATAAAGAAACACTAATTATTGAAATTTATAAGTAAATCGTTATCTTATTTTACGATATCAAAAAACATGGCAGTATCTCACGCCAAGTATTAAACGCGCTAAGTACACGAGGAGCGGATGTTTTATTCTACATGATGATAAAAAAGATTAATTATAAAATATATGTAATATGTGAATATATATTTGTAACAAAAACTCTAACACTGACGCAAATATTCAGATACATAATCTTTTATTTTGATTATTACAATCATTAAAAATAAATAGAATTGATTAAATTATTAATAGCATTTTAATTGTCTTCTTTTCTGATATCCTTCTTGTTTGATATATTTCTTAACGTATATCTCTTTTCTTTTGAATAATAAACAAGTAAGTATACATTTCTAAAAATTGAGTAAAATATAAATACGTGCGTAGATATATCATAATTAACATTTCATATCCGTTATTTTCGGTTTCCAATGTTGTTATACATATTCATAGATTATTCGAAAGTATAGATAAAAATCTTCTTCGAGCGGCTTCGTTACGAATGGATGACATTAAAAGCTACAGATGAAATCGATATATTAAGAAAATACGCCGATTTTTCCAGACTATTTACGGCGACAATGACGGGTATAAAGAATCAATCCGATTATTTTAATTCCGATTATTTCGATTTATTCTGTTTTCGCATTTGATTATAGTACATATTATAAATATCGATTGTTATATGGATTGAAAGAGAATTTAAATACTGGGATATCAATAAATTGATATTTTTATCATATCACAATTTTTTAATTTTTTGTGGAATAATCAAATAAAATAATAAATGAATTATGCTGCTGCATTATATGTGTTGGAATAAAAGAAAATTTTAATACAATAAGCAAAATTTAAAGATATAATTAACTTTAACAAGAGAAAAATTTATATATATGTATACATATATATTTCTCGTTGTGTTTTATAGTGCTGATGTTACTTCTTCTGAACTCTTTCGGCTTGTTTCAATTTCTTCCGAACCTTCTTGACATTATTATACCGCTTAATGAATCTCGTGAGCGTCATTTCACATTCTTAGCCGAGTACTTCGTCGATCAAGAGCAATACTTTTATTTTATTTTAACACATAATCTAATGGCCGTTTATATCGGAGGTATTTCAATACTTTCTACTGGTACCATGCTTATGGGATTTATAATGCACATCTGCGCAATGTTGAAAATAGCAAGGTAAGAATCGCGAGAATTGAAAAATTGAAATATAACTTAATAATGGCTTATTCAAGATAAAAAGTTTCTTTCACTGTATATGCTGATGTAAAAGAAATAATTCTACAAAAATTATTTCATATACATATAATATGATGGTTTTTTATATATTGACAAAATTAATAAGTCACATGTGGGAATGGTAATAATTCAAGTATGGACAACAGTAACGGACAACATTAGTACTTTTTTTATTTATATAAGTTATTTTATTTACCCCACAATTCAATTGTTGATCTTACATTATAATAATGTAACGATGAACAAAAAAGTGACTAAAAATTGCAATTAATTTATATACGTAAATAAATACAGTATCCTTTTCCGATTAATGAATTATGTAGAAATGTAATTCGACTTCGCAGTTATCGTCTTGAACATATAAACGATAATTTACCATCAGTATCTATATCCGAAAAAGATTACATTATTTGTAAAAGAATAATCAACGCCGTTGACATACATCGCAGAGCGCTCGTGTTTGGCGAATATATACTATCTAGATAGTATATACTATCTACCCTCATGTGGGGGTAATATGCCACATATACAAAAATGTATAGTAATTTAACTTTAGAAGGGCATTCTTGTCTAAAAACATGTAAAAGAATATTTTTATTACAATTTTAATAAAACACTAAGAAAATTCTAAGAAGCACTTGTCATACTGTACTTACCCCATAAAAACAATAATACTGACAGGAAGTAAGTAAAACTTGGACAAAACGTCCAGATATAATATTTTTAACAATTTCATAGTATTTACAACAACGCTCCTAGCCGTAGCTTTGTTTAACATAATGAGTGGCATATTCCCCACACTAGCATAATCCTCACACTGGCATATTCCCCCCAGTTACCCTATTTTTTATCCTGTTTATTTTTACATCCTGTTATTTTTACATCCTGTTTATATCCTTAAACACCCAATGTAACTTCACAAGCAAAAAGCAGCATTTACATATTTATTGCAAACCTTCGTATGATCAATTGAGGTCTATTAATCACTTTAACACCTTAGGTATGCCATGCAATGTACGATTTCGTTACAAGCGCAAAAGCTGCTGCTTTTTATAATGCAGAGAAATACAAAAAATTACTATTTTACTGTCGGTAGCATTTTCGTCGCTTCTCTAGAAGGTTTTGCCTCGGTAATGTACTCGTAATAAATAAACAAATATATATATATACATATATATGTTTATCAACTATTGTATATGTGTATATATATAGTATATTCTTTATTTTAAATTATATACCTTGAGAACATAAATAGAATATATATTCTAGATGACGAGTATGACAGTATCTTACTTCACAATGATTTACTCCACACGATGACCACATAGGATGCGATACAACATTTAGTAGCCCGTCGTATTATAGACAATTACACAAGATTTCTGAAGGAGCCGATATTCTGTCGAGCAATCGGATACCGACAATATTTTCAACTTTCACGGAAACTCAACGAAAGGAATCCAAAGTTTGCAATAATGTTACATCACATGGAGCAAAGTATTAATATCAGTAATAAAGACAGATTAAAATACGTTATTGAAATTATGGAATATCTTAGTGTTCAAAATTCAAATTTCTTTATTTGGATGATCTGCATGCAAAAAATAATTTGTTTAAAAAACAATTGAAACACTTGGAAATAAACCTGAGAATTTCATCGAAGTTTTTATAATGTCGTTTGTTATGTTATCTTTGAATCTTTCAATTATTAACTAAGTTAAACATTAATCAACTTTAAAATTATCAGTGTTTATCTAATCATTTTAACTCTTATTAAATTTATTACTTGTGACACGTGTTCTTTACGCTGTCCATATTTATAGTAATTAAATATTACATAAAATCGAATAAGTATAATCTTTCCAAGTGAATATTTACTAAGAAAGGAAGAAACCTTTAATATTCCCGCTATATCCTCTTATTTGGATTTATTACTTTTTTTATATATGTAATTTTATAAATTTCACTCACATATACACTTAATGAGACCGCACATTTCTTGCACATTAGTATTTTAATAACTAAATAAAACTAAGTATGAATTTCTATATGGCACGACATGGAAAACACTCGCGTAACAGAGCAATCTCAAAATCTCGGGTACTCGCAACTCGTGCGTTTGCGTAAAAGAGTCACGGTGTGGTCTCGCTCCGCGCGTACTTGGCGCAAGACACTATAATACCGTGTCTCTTGATTCGTAGCACGATGTTCGCGACGCGACGTTTCGAATGACTGTGAGGGTGTCGCGTGAGAAATCTTCTGAAAGCCCAAAACGCGCCTGCGCCAACGTGAGAAAAAAAGAAGGGGATATTATTTCACCCTTGCCTTGAGAAAGGCTACATCTGACGAATATAACGTGCAATTTCGATAATTCAACTTTTTGTCGTCCCCTTCGGCGCCGTAAAAACGCGAGCGATCGATGGTCGCCCCCACCTTGACGCGATACCGTGAACGCCGATGACAATATTTTATAAAAACATCCGGTGAGGGTGGAAACGGTTATATCATTCTACCGGAAAAAACGCATACGGTGCCTCAATATTGTTTTTAACATGTTGTTGAATCGCGAGAAGACAGATTTTGCCGAAAATCATTATTACAGATTAAATCAAATACTTCTGTCGACGGTCGGTCTATGGCCATATCAACGCTCGAAATTTACGATAATTAGTCATATCTTCCATTTTGCTATAATGGGGTCTTTCGTGTTTTTTCAGGTAAATATATATTCTTTCTAAATATTGTACATTATACGTATTATTTAGTTCTGCACAATTTGGTTTTATATACTCTCGTAAGTTTCGACTAACTTTGTAAAAATCTAATTAAAAATGACTCTAATAACACAAATCTATTATGAGAACATAAAAATTAAACACGTTAGTATAACAGATTTATATATTCGAAAAGAGTGTATATACAACTAAGGCATACCATTTCTGATGATGTCCTCATCACTTTCAGTTAACATCGTTTCTCACATTACAATTCACCCTGGATCTCTTTATTATGGTGCTCTCGTACGCCGTACCGAGTTTCTCATATATCGTACAGTACTGCGCATTTTGTGTAAATCGCAACGATGTAAGTTAGCCACTGTATCCCATCATTTCTTTTCACTCAATAGTCAGAAAATCATCTGAAATAATCCGATCATATAGGTGAAGCGAATTTGGAAAGATATACGTGAGAATTGGAGTCTTTTGAAAGATGAAACGGAACGCGACATAATGCGGCAACATTCATCTTTTGGTGAACTAATGACGAAACTCACATTATGTATGAGAGTTATAAAAAAACGACAACATGTCATACAGATTTTGTCCATATACAAAAATGTCTATAAAAAAGTTCTTAGTATAATTATAACTATTAATAGTTACTACACTGAGAAAAAGAATTTGTTGAAAAACGCAAAATGTGTTTCCAACTAAAATATTTAGTCCGATATGTTTAACCAAACATTAGTTTTAACTAAACATTAGGTGAATTAATTAATTCTTGATTAAAAAATGAATTATACCTTTTTTGATGCAACTTAATGATTGTTGAATCAACCATTGGATCAACAATTATACAAATAGAGTCCGTACAACCAATTTTTTTCTCAGTGTATTAATCATTTTTCCTAAAACACGATTTTGAAAGCTCGTGTTTATTTCTGAATTTCTGTCACAGCTAATTACTCATTATCGTCCTCATTACCTATTCGTTTCGTTTATGTCTAAAACCTGCTTAATAATTTGCACAATAAACTATATTTTACACACATTAACAACAACTATTGAGTATTATACTCAATCAGTACAAAGAATTTTATATATATGTATGTATTGATGTAATTCCAGTGAGTTTCATCATAAGTATGATTCTGTATGCAATCACTGAACTGTTACCGACTATTCTTGATTTAATCTTTCCGATAAATCAAACGCGTCCGCAAGAGCTCCACGCTTCGACAGAATATTTCATCGACAAAACAACGTACTTTTATCCAATTTTTTGCCACTGGATAATTTCCTTGCTTTTCGGTGCCTCTGTTCTTATAACTACAGGTTTGTTCGAAATAATATACATCGAAAATATTTGCGGATTATTAAGAATCGCCAGGTGAGACTTAAAGTTCAATACTTGAATAATGATTTATGTTTATAATTGAAATAATGAAGTAATCGAAATTAATGTGAAAAATAAAGTAATATAACATTTTACATACTAACTTTGGAGTCCAGATAATATACGTAAAAAAATTTATATAAAAATCAAAATTATTTAATATATATAATATGTGTAAATATTATTATATCAAAATTACGAATAAAGAAGCGATTAAATATATTTGCAGCTATCGGATTGAACACTCAATAGACAAATATGTATCGCATAATTCTGCACAAAAAGATTGTGTAGCTTATCAAGGCATAATCACCGCAGTGGATATACACCGAAGAGCCCTCGAGTCGGTATCTCTATATATGTATATGTATAATATACATTTTTTGCAAAAATCGAAATATTTATATCGATTTTTCATTTAATACTATACGCAGATGCATTTGATATGCAATATATTTCATCTTTGTCTTTTATTATTAAAGATGCAGTGAATTTATGGTAAACAGTTTTGTGCCATATTTTGTCTTACTAATTATAATCGTCGTTGCATCTACAAGTTTGAACTTATTCCGAGTAAGTTATTTTTTCTAAATCTTTCTTTACAACAAATAATCAAGCTATGAATTTTTATATAGTATAGACGATTTTTGTATTTTAGCTGCTCAGAGCAATAACTTTGCGAAATATGTACGAGTTACTTGCATCAACATTATTCGTCGGTTTTCATTTTATAATCATGTTTATCAGTAATTACTATGGGCAAAAACTTACGGATTATAATAACGAAATTTTTAATACTGCGTGAGTATTTATCGCGATTACATAATCACTCTCGTTATTGTCAACCAGAAATTAAACTTCCTAAAATTAGATGAGGTTTCAAGAAAAGCTTGGAATATGTAAAATAATGTTTTATTAACAGATATAATGTAAAATGGTATAAGACTCCAATAAAGATGCAGAAATTACTATTATTTATAATGCAAAGTACTACAACGCCATATGTTATAAATATTGGTAACTTACTTTCCGCTTCAGTCGAAGGTTTTTCTAAGGTAAAGAGAAGTGACATGGTATATATGGAAGAATCACAGATTTTTATTAACGGAAAGCATTTAACAAATATGTTTTACAGCTCATAAACTTGTCAATGTCTTATTTCATGGTAATTTATACTCTACTATAACAAAAAGTAGACATCACGAGTGATTTTGCTCTATAGTTAGAAATAATATGTAGCTGATAAAAGATGCAAAATAAAAATTTGCACATAAAGAAACACTAATTATTGAAATTTATAAGTAAATCGTTATCTTATTTTACGATATCAAAAAACATGGCAGTATCTCACGCCAAGTATTAAACGCGCTAAGTACACGAGGAGCGGATGTTTTATTCTACATGATGATAAAAAAGATTAATTATAAAATATATGTAATATGTGAATATATATTTGTAACAAAAACTCTAACACTGACGCAAATATTCAGATACATAATCTTTTATTTTGATTATTACAATCATTAAAAATAAATAGAATTGATTAAATTATTAATAGCATTTTAATT